TAAAAGCAATTTGATTTTTAAAATAAAGTTTTACCAACATATTAGAAAATCTTATTAATTTTTCATAAAAAATAAATTTCAATAAAAAAATAATTTTTAGTAAAGCTTTACCAATATATTGGAAGGTAATTTGATTTTTATAATAAGATTTTACCAACATATTTGAAAACCTTATTAATTTTTTATAAAAAATAAATTTTAAGAAAAAATAATTTTTAGTAAAGCTTTATTAATATATTGTAAGGTAATTTGATTTTTAAAATAAGGTTTTACCAACATATTTGAAAACCTTACTAATTTTTTATAAAAAATAATTTAAAAAAATGATTTTTAGTAAAGCCTTACCAACATATTGGAAGGTAATTTGGTTTTTAAGATAATGTTTACTAAAATTATTAGAAAATCTTATGGATTTTTAAATAAAAATTAATTTTAGAAAAAAAAATAATTTTTATAAAATCTTACTAACATATTGGAGGATAATTTCTAAAAAAAAATCTTATCAATATATTGGAGGATATTTTTGAAAATAAATAGTTTTTTTACAAAGTTAGATTTTAAATCTTCGATAATGAAATCGTTAAGAGTATTGTAAATAGTAATCTACATGTAAATTTCTATGTGAGAAATTCTTTCTAAATTTATTAACATATTGAAGAATTTAGAAAAGATTTTTGATATCAAGATTCTCATAAAAATTTCAATTATCACAAATAATTTTTTTTTACAAAAATTAAATGAATATTATAACGAAGCTTCTTCAAAGTTTGGCAAATAATCTCTTTGAATACTTCTGAGATAAAAAGATATTCTTGAATTATTATTAACATATTAGAGTAATTTAGGGATAATTTTAGATATTAAATTAATTGGTAAGTTTTTTAGGCTTTTGAATAACACAATATTAAGCTGTTACCATCTTTTGGGTGGGCGGTGTGGAGCCGCTATAACTTTTTTCACACGTAATCGTACTCTCGAACCTAATTCTAATTTCATAGATATGAATATACTTGTTAAAGTACCTTAGTTATGTTTGAGATTTCTTTTTAAAATATGACAGATTCAATCAGATGGTCATTTACATTTATAAAAAAAAGATTAATGGTGACTCATTTTCTAGTGATAGGTTTGTAAATCTATAGGTTATGACAGATATAATAAGATATGTAAGTTCAATCCCATAAATTAAAAATAATTATTTTCAATTTTAGAGGATTGAATCATTTTATGTCAAAAGAATGATTAATTTCTCTTACAATTTTATCATTTTAAATATAAACTAAACATGATATAAAATGATTAATATTTTATTCTATCATTATTATATACATCAAACATGACCTAAAAAGATTACCAATTGTTATCTAAAAATTAATGAAGATTTCATCCCTTATTTATTTATTTATTTTTTGTCTTTTGAGTTATAAATGAAATTCAAAATTGAGAATCTTAATCCTAGAGCGGATTCCAATACCACTGAACTTACAATTGATTGACACATGTTTCTTCTTCTCAATCATTAGAATTAAGTAATTAATCTTAGAGTAGTCCCTATCTTTCCTTTTTATATCGTCCATAAATATGAATATAAATATAAATATATATATATATATATATGTATCAATGCTTGTTTCCAAAATAACGGATGTTTGCATTCATGCCCGCACATACCAGACATTTAAAAAAAAAAAATACACATTATAATCATATAACCTTTAAATCATCCCTAATTACAAAAATGATGCTTACCTTGTTTTATCCTATTTATTGGCCATATATTGGATTGAAAATTCTTTTTTTTCATTGCTAGCTGTAAAACAATGCATCAATCTTTCAAAGTAACATTTGAATTTGAGAAAGGGAAGGAACACCTTGAAAGGAGTACAATACACTACTATTATTCAACAATTTCCGTCGGCTTGTCAATTTTATCATGTATCAATCTTGAAAGTACTATTTAATTAATATATTAAGCAATATTGGTTTCCATCTTATCCATCTAACTCAACTATTCTTGTATTTTTCTGATCCTTTTCAAATTGGGAACAAAAAAAAAAAAGGAACATTTTCCATCTTTTATATGCAATGGATGGCTTGTTTTTCACATATCATTATCCAATAATGACCCCTCCGGTCCTTTAAGGGAACAAATAAGCAAAAATGGTTGTGAGGCATTGGCCCCCAAAAGTAAGGCCATGCCTTTATGGCAAATTATGTACTTGCAAAATGAGGGCATGGGTCCTCAGATGCCCTAAAGGATGATGTTTCCTTCCCCCCGTTGTTCCAACTTCCAACCAAAACTGTCCTAGCTAGATCGACATGAACATGAACATCAACCTTTCCCCTAACAGTCACGTGAAAAGCTCATCTCCCGAATATGAAATCTATGATTTTTTTTTTTTTGTATTCCTTCCATTATCTCCTCATATTTTGATTTAAGGCTTAGTCCTTCCCACGTTTTCCTTCTTTATTATCTGCAATATGGCTTATTAAATCAACAGATATTAGCATTTACCTACTAATAGGCTGGCTAATTATATACAAGGCATGTGTGGTTGCAAAATTAACCTTCATTTTAGAGCTGGTTTAAATTGTTTATTATACCAAACAAAATTGTTCAAAACGATGCCAAGTCATCGTTTTTATTTATTAACTTAAACGTTGAATTAAATGTACATATATATATATGTTGACATTATACCATTTTGATAATTTTCACTCTTATAAGGCAACCAAAGATGCTTGTAAAATTATTTTAAGAAATATCTTACTTAGATTTATCAATTTATACAGTTTTTTTTAAAAAGTTACATTCAACAAATATGAAGTTAACATTTTAACATCTGAAATCCTTTTTTTTTTTTTTCAAATTGTGATCTTATTTGTATAAAAAAAAAATTGCAAAAGAATTCGACATGATAGCATTGTCCAAATCAAATGAAATTGAAACTGAATAGGGTGGGAATTTTGCCCTTTCATATAGGAAATGCTAGCTGTAAAGTAGAATGTGTTCAATGAAAAAAAACAAAGGAAGAATGTCCATGCTAAACATTCTAATCAAGTACAATTTATTTTTCCACGAAAATGGAAAAGGGAAAGAAGAAAACAGTGAAGGGATAAAAAACAAGAGACGAAGAGCTAAATAAATTGCTGTAAAATGTAGTTGTATAATTGGTTATTATTGATATGGGCCTCGAGCTGTAACAAGGGTCTCGCTAAATTTATTCATGTTTTGCAGAAAAGTGAACAGGAGGGAAAAACAAAGGCAAAGAGATGAAAAGATGAGTTAAGCGGGTTAGGTTATCTGTCTTTCAGTTCCCACTTTTGCCCTTGTTTCCTGGTTTCCTTATCTCAACAAGATGCCATGCAGAAAATGGTCAACTTTTGGGGTTTTGGGGTCTAGCCAGGCTGACTCAAGTTTTGATTATATCAGAACTGACAGCTTTAAGGGCACATGCCCTTACTAAATTTCACATCTTGCAAGTTTTATAATGGTAGGACACCGTTGTAAACCTAGGGGCCCCCAAAAAAACATGGGGTTTGGTTAACATTTCCTCTTGTTAAACTTATGCCTAAAGGAATTCCCTCGCATCCCTTTTCAAGGGCCAAAACCACAACAAAAATGAAGCATACCTCTTTCTTAGGGGAAGGCTTTTGTCAAAAGAGGGGGCATATCTGGTCTTGCACTGCTGCTTTTCTATAGTTTATCAGTAATTATGCCTTTTCACTATAACCAAATAGCCATTCTCTAGGAAACACTCGAATGCATCTGATGCTGCAGCCATCAATGTCTTATCAATGACTTTTTGTTAATTACAGATTAATGGCCATCAAATTGTGTTTAAAATAACCTTGAACTGTACGTCTGAAACAAATTTGCTGTTGGTTCTGAATGAATTATGAAACACTGATGAAAATGATTTTGTACTAACACCATATATATATATATATATATATATATAGTCCTTGATCTTACTCTCTCTATCAATTTCCTTGATTTTAAGCTTAAAATTTACAGATTTGATGAGTGTTTTTATAAATAAATACATGGGATTCTTAAATTAAAATTTTAATTCAATTAATTTTTATAATTATTTACATTTAATAAATTTAAAATTTAAATTCTAATATTTGTAATTTCCTTTTGTATTTTTAAATTAATGACTTCTTATATATATATATATATATATATATATATATATAAGATTGTGGTGGCCAGCGCCAATGGCATGCATTCCTTTGTCAATATGGATATTAGAACTCTGTTACCTACTCCATGTAAATGACAGATGAGTCATGAGATTTTCATAGGATAAAAACCGTCTCATTGAATGAAGGATTAGTGGGTTAGGTGCAACGACACATCAAGCAGAATGAAACATTTCAGTACTATAAATATGTAGGGTCTATAGTCGTAAGCTATTGAAGATTGTCATTAGTATCACCTGCAATTTCAAGTGAACTTCCTCACTTGGCGTCAACGTTAATCTTGGAACAAATGAAATTGAAATGATGTTTACTTACCAATATCAAGAGGCCAGGAAGTTTCACCAAAATTCAACAATGCATTCTTTCTGATATTATCCTAAACAAAAATAACGTTAAAATCTTCTCACTTTTTGACTGTTGGAGATCAGTTTTTTTTACCACAAAACAAAGAAGCCAAAGGTGATAATCTCGATGATAGCATGGACCATTCATGTTATGGGCCAAACCAACTTACTATCTCAGGCAGGTCAGGCCCTGTTCTGCAGGCAATTTCAGCAGTCGGAAATTTGGAGATACGAAATACGTGATGTCCCCCCCCCCCCCTCAAAATTTCCAATGACCTCTCGTTCTATTATCAAGGCTTTACTTCTATTAACCTAAATTTTTGAACCTTTAAGACTCAATCCTGTTGGTTTTATGTAAAAACTCTTAAAAGTCCACATCAACTAAGATTGCATTCAAATCCCAACTCCTACCATTTCTCTTCTATTCTCATAGTACAGCTTCTTTTGTATAAACAAATGTGTTTGGAATTAGATTATAAAGATTTTACAATCTAGCTGTAACTGTCATGTTATCTTCTTTTCTTACAATAAGAAAAAAAAGTACAACTGGCAAGGTGAAGTGAACACTGATAAATACATGGACTCTTAGCAGGTAAAAAGAACAACAATTTTCGCACCATGTTAATCAAAGGAGAAAAGAATATGAATAGATGGAAACACAGGCAAAATGGCAACACCGGGACACGAATTCAGCCACGTCGAAGAAAGGAAAAAAATTCATTGTTCAAGAAAATCACTCTAAATTAAAGCTCTACTTCACATGGTTTCTTCTCAAAATGTTTGTACCAAGAAAAATGCAATGTCACTGAGGAACAAACAATCCGTAGAGTATGATGGTTAGACTTCCATGTACCTACCTTAAACCGAATCCTTGACATTAAATGAACATCAACGTCAATCTCCCCTGATGATTTTTCAATCGTCAGGTCTTTGAATGTTGATGGTGACAATGCCAAATTTAGAGCCTCAAGCTTCGATTCTACTCGAGTTACATTCCTATGAGGTTGAAAGAAGGGATCAATCGTATTGAATGCGAGAGTTTGATCTTCGTATGTCACTGTGAACTCGATGTGATCATAGTAGACAGAGATTTTGCTACTAGGATTATATGCCCCAAGAACAAAATCGAAGGTGGCATTGAGATGGTTATCTGTTAGGTTGAAATTTTGGACTGAACCATTTTCAAGCGTGTAAACAAACCTTTTTGGCCTAATGACTAGCCAATTGATCAGCGCGGCTAGACCAACAAGAACAATAAGGGCTAGCAAGCAAGTGGCAACACACCTTACTAGGTTAAAATGTTTTGCAGGCTGTTGTGTAGCTTGTGCTGTATTATTAGCCATTTTTGAGGGACAGTCTTACGATCTGAACTCTGAACTCAGAATGTGAAATATAGTCTTTTTATACAGGCAAAAGGTTAGTGAATAATTTCCTTTTTCTTTGTCATTCCCTTTGAGTGACTTTAAGGTTTCTTGAATGAAACTCAAGACATCTGAAAGATTCATGATCTGTTCTTTTCTTCTGCTTCAAACGTTATAAGATTCATTGCTGTAACTTACTCCCCAGGGCTAATCCCAATCTTTTCTTGCTTTGTTTGGAGCAACAATGAAGTGGAAGAATATGCTGTTTTTGATATAGAGTATCAATTTTTTTGGTACTTGAGATTGTTAGGATTTGAACTTTGATCACTAGAGCTAAAAGTGCAATACCTTACCAACTGGCCACGCGACTATTGGCAATTGAGAGTATCAATTTGACACCAAACATGCGAGTCTTAACTGGTTTTGCTTGTAAGAGATATATATGATTATAATTTTTTCCCCACCAAAAGGAAAAAGGGAAAAAAGGTTAAAAATAAATCAAATTACTGATGTTTAAAAGCTTCACCGACTAGATCACTTGAGATGCTGCTCTGGGTAGATTGACACTTCAATTAGCAAAGTTCATTAGGCACTAAAAAAGGGTAAAAATTTTCCAGATTGACAGGATCCCGGAAATCTGGAGGTTTTAGGACCATAAAACTTACTTTTCTTGGTGTTGAGATAGGTAGGAGTTGGAGAGATTTTGAGATAAGTGAATCCATTAACCACTGCTTATGCAAATTAGGACAAAATTCCTTCTGGAAAATTAAACTCTTTGTCATAGTCCTGAAACTTGATGTTTTGTCAGCAATGGGATTTATCAGATAAGCACTCGGCAAAAGCTATGTTTCTGTAGTTTTACTGTTCTCTTTGTCCTGCACTAATCTATCCTCCTGCTTCGTTTTCTGCTTTTCCTGCAGTTATCTCCCTCAGACCAAGCCCTATATTTCTCTTTCATAGGCTCCACTTGATATCAGGTGGCAGACATTGGTGGAGGAACAAAATGTTAGAAAGCTTAAAGATATTGCTTCAAACCAAAAGTTTAACCAATAAATCCTTTGTGCCAACTGTATATATATGCTACATTGACCCTCACTTTTCTTATTTTTCTTTAAGTGAAAAGATCAGCTGGATTAGGTTCAATCAAGACTAGTTCAGCTACGTTATTCAGTTAATTATGAGTAAAAAGAAGTGATCAGGAAAAAAACAGTTTGCCGTTTCAACTCAATTTTGGAGGAGCATTGAACAGCAAAGAGCTTCACACTTGGCTTGAACATTACTAATTCAATCAAGGATATGCCCTAAAGCTCAAAAGCATATGCTTCCCCTGCTGAGAAACTGATATTTTCAAGATTATGATTCTTGGGATAGAGTTTGATCTTCCTGCTGGCTTACTCTCTTTCCTATCTGAAGTGATCTTTCAGGCATTGAAGTTCTTACTTTCCTTTATGGTTCTTGCTTCACCTATAAGCAGTTCCTAAGCCACCCTCACTGCAACTTTATTATGGATAGGAGTATAAACTCATTTCATGAAGCATTGAAACTTGTTACATACTCTGTGCTATAATTGCTTTGGCATGACAGGTTCTTGAATTTGATTCCAGTACTTGTTTATTGTTAACTTCTTTTTTTGGGTACTTGAAGCTGTCAGGATTTGAACTTCAGAAATAGGCCACACTACTATTGATGTTTACTGCTAAATTCTTACTGTAAGTAAACAAAAGCATACCATGTTAAACAATTAAATTTCATCAAATGTCACCATGGTCCATACTGAGATCAAACAAAGGAGATAGGTGACTTTGTATTGCTTAATTCATAGTATATCATATTCCTATGTTCTGACTCCAATTTTCTTGTTCATTCCCTTCTTTGGTGATCCTGACGACATATCACACTATGCCTGAATTTTATTTCAAAATTAATCATTACGCCATCACTTGGATGGAACTTCGGCTTGGCATCTTCCCCTTTCCCCCTCCTTTTGCAATAACAATGAAAACCAATGTATATGCTTTAGCTAAAGAAGTAATGGAGACAAAGTAAAATCCAAATCCAAGCAAAGCATTTTGAGGCAAAGCATGTTAAGCGGCCATTTATTGGCCACGTGGGAGGGTTTCAAAGTTGAAGCATATACTATTTTATTGGTAAGGCAGGGAAAAGATGCAAAAGAATAATGCAAAAAAGGGGCTAAAGTTGTGGGTCACCAAATGTGGAGCAATGGAGTTGGTCGCCGCATATCCCTTGGAAGATGCGGTCATTTCATTTTGGTACTCCACAGGGAGAAGAAACCCAGAATTCAAATAATACCATTGTTTTTCTTTTCTAAAGCTGTCCTCACATATATATCATCCTCAGCAAGCTAGAAGCCATACAGGATTATGACATATGACCTATTTCGAGATTGCTAGTCATTTCACTTAGCCATGGTGCCACCCCCACCAAGCCTGGACCCAACACACTTGGCAACTGCAAGGGCTTAGTGGGTCTTTTCAGCATGGTGGGAAGTGGCAGAGTATAAATATAGTAGGTATGGATTTGATATGATGGGGAGAAATGGGGTTGGTTGAATTGCAATATGTCTACCTGATCCTCCAGGAGCCTGTTTCCCCCACAGGGCAACTATAATCCTTTGGCAAGCACTTTTCGGTTGAGGATAATCTCTCTATCTCTTCACTTTTATGTGATGGGAGAAACTGGGTTTTTGAATTGCTGTCAGATTTCAATGACAGGCTGTTTTCTCCCACAGGGCAACTTCAATCCTTTGGCGGTTTCACTTCTATTTGCGTCATGTAATTGGATCATTGGAAAAGGTCATCAAGTATTGGCCGGGAGTTAGTTTTCTATTTTGGCAATCTTTGTTCTACATTTTTTCATTTTTTCTCTTTTTATATTTTCTTAGTTCATTTTGTATGAAATAAGCATTGGCTTGGGTACTTTGCACATGTGATTTTGGTTCTGTAACTCCTGGATGTATAAGAATTTAGCAAGTAAGGTCCAAGCACCACATAAAAACCATGAAAAAAGAATAATAGTTCATCTGTTATTTCATCAGAATCCATATCGTTTTACTGATTTGCAGCTTAATGTTAGGCCATTTAGTCCACCAAAAAATAAATGAATGGCAGCTCATTTTATTGAGTCTCCTGATCCTTTTTCTATTTAGTTTATTTTTGTATATTACTAGTGTCATAACGTATAGATCCGTGGATCTATCATTAGACTTTGAATGAAAAAGAATCATCATCAATATTTTTTGATTAGATGTGATTGTCACCTGATTGAAGCTAATCTACAAAACAGAAGTTAGATTCGGAAGTCGGTTGCACATGAAGAATGTTATAGCATCCCTAAAACGTCCATCTAAGGGATGATACCAGTTTGATTTCGAATTATCCAAGCCTTACTCATTTTTATAATTTACCATACAATTTATTAATGAGTAATTGATTTTATAATTAGAAAAATTTTCCTTTTTTTTTAGAAACAAAAATTGCAGAAATAATCTTTTCTTGTTTTTTTATTATTTTCCCTTTTTTTCTTTTTTAAAAAAAATGAAAAAAGGGTTAAAAATAAAACAAAATAAATCAAAATCAAAAAATAAAAATAAAATGAAAAAAAGAAAACCTGTGATCGAGTTGGGTCAGGATGCAGGTTGGTGTGCGGGTCTTCGGGTCGACGCACTTATCTTGGCTTACCAAAATGGTGTCATTTTGGAGCGGTATAAAAGGCACCATTTGCATTTTTTTCTCAGAAACTTCAGAGCGTCTCTCTCTCTACCCCAAAATCCTCTGACCTCTCTCTAAAAAACCTATCAAAAAGTTTAATCGAAAACTGAAAATTTCACCAGTTTCTGGAAACTTCGTCAAAAAATTCTATTGAAAATTTTTATCGAAATTGAAAATCCCATTGGTTTCTGGAAAACCTGCCGCATTCTGAAAATCTCGTCAAAAAATTCAACCTTCACCGAAAAATTCAACAAAAAAATTCAAAGTTTTTCAAAAAACCCAAAAAATTCAAAAAAAAATCTAAAAAAATCAAGAAAAATTCTCAAATAGTTATAATTTTTCCCCAAACCTTCTACAATCCTAAACTCTCCTCCAGAAACCTAAATTCACTCCCAGAATCGCAAATCAACTTTAAAATCCTAAGATCAAATCTCAGAAACCCTTACTGCCTGATTTTTCCCAAAAACTTCCCCAACAATTTTCTTTATGTTTTTTTGTCTGTCTTCTGTGTGTTCTTGCTTTGCAAAATAGGTCCAATTTATATGTAGCCTAGGATCAATTCGGAAAATGGACAGAATCAATCTCAGGCTTGATTCTTAGGATTGCATTATGTTCAAACGAGATTTTAGGTGTAAAATTTTAGTAGTATTAATTTTATTTTGTGTTGACCTAAAAATACTGCAACCTTAATCTTCATTCATGTGTAGATTGGGTAGAAAAAGAAATAGAAAAATAGAAATAATAATAATAATAATAAAAAAAAAAATTTAATTGGACCATAATGGGTTGTAATGGGCCAGTTGGGCCAAATCAAAATGGACCCAATTGGGCCTGGACAAAAATAAGTGTTTACAGTTATCTCTCTTTGCACATCTTTGTTACATAAAGATGTTACAAAGACCTAGACACCCACTCCGACCACTAGTTTGAAAAAAATAACCTAGAGTGAGCCAAGGTTGGACGACTGAGATTAAACTACGAGTCAAATAAAATGATCAGAACCAAGTCGAGGTCAAGAATAAATGATCGAGACGGAACCATGAATCATAAGAAATGATCTGGACTGAGCTAAGATCAAGTGATTGGGATGAAACTATAAGTCAAAATAAAGTGACCAGAATCGAGTCAAGGTCGAAAATAAATGATCGGGACTGAACCACGAATCATAAGAAATGATCTAGACTGAGCCAAGATCAAGTGATCGGGATGAAACCACAAGTCAAAATAAAACGACCAGGACCAAGTTAAGGACAAGAATAAATGATCGGGACAGAATCACAAATCATAAGAAATGATCTGGACTGAGCCAAGATCAAGTGATCGGGACGAAATCACAAGTCAGAATAAAGCGACCTAGACTGAGTCAAGATTGAGA